GGTGGAGATGTATGTTATAGTTGAAACATGGAAACAGAAAAATGACAGCGAACCAACTAGGAGTTATTTTAATTTCTATATATGAACTTGACTTCAATTTTGTGGCCCTTTCTCTGGATTATGCTAACCTGAGATGCTATATTGACCTGCCTTTTAAATTAAGGATTAAAAATATTTCTAGAAATAACTGTTTGATCTTTTAAATTAAATATATTATGAATATGATATTACTTTTCACCATGAATAATACCACTATTTTTTACCATGAATACAGAATACTACCACTAGCCATTTTGTTTAAACACTAATCTAAAGTTAAGCCTCATAAAGCAAGTGATGTTGCAACTACATTTTTTTCTCTTCATAAATGTAAAAGCCGCCTTTTAAGTTATGGGAAACTTATGCATATATCCAACTTAACAGTTTAATCCTTTTTTTTTTTATAATTATTTTGTACAATAATTTGTTCAACAAATTATTAATAAACACATGGTCAGAAGCACGATAATATAAATACATAAATTAAGAACATAAATATTATATATAATATAAAAAGATACTAGATAAATGGTTGAAAATGGCAAGTGTAAAATAGATATTGCATAGGATAAAGGGTTTTGGGGGTGTGTTGATTTTTAAAACAAATTGGAGTGTGAAAATGATTTTCCATTTTTTTAAAATCTGCTTTACGTCATATATTAAAGTTCTATAAAGTTTTTGTTTAGGCTATCAGATCTGTCAAAAAATATTCACATAGTTCTTTTTTAAAATATGAGATTATAATCTTAAAAATTATATTATTCATTATAAATTTAAAAATAACATAATTCTATAAAAATTTCTTACATTAATTACTATATATATATAATCTAAAATCAAAAATATTTTTTTATTCAACTGGTCATCCTTTAACGGAATGACCAAATATGTCATACATAAAACAATGAACTCAAACAACATGTACAAGAAAATAATTCTTGTAATTTATTGGTACAAAACAAAGCTAAAATGCAACGCAGGTATATATAGAGATCATAAAGACCTCTATAAAATGCGTAGCTTATTGTTCATATACTAATTTTCTTATTTGATTATAAAACTTGATGTTAGTCAATATAATTAGTACGGGCGTTGACCAATGTAATTGCCTGGAGGATTATAGTTGCATGTAACAAACCACCAGCCGTTGGTACACTGAACTCGAGCACAACCAAGTTGAATCGAGTTTTTCCAGACTACTTGAGTATAATGTCGACATTCTTTTCCACCAGTGCAACTATTACTATTATAATCATAGTACGGTTTTTCGCCCACCCACAAGTTAACAGCAGCAGTGCCGGTCATGAAAGAACCACTTCCCTTAGCAATATTTTCGCCGTAAGGACCATTAGAGTGGACAAGATTGCAATCACTAATTCTTTGATTCGCATAAGTTTGTGCATAATTTTCAAGAGTTGTGTTCCATGTTATTGCACTAACACCAGTTACTTGAGATCGAGCTGAATTATGAGTGTTGAGATAGTCTGTTTGGGAATTTTGGGCATCACAATAAGGTAAAACAAAGGCAAAAATAATGAAACAAATTACAACATTAGAAGCTTTGAATAATGCCATTTTTAATTTGAAGAGGTGATGAGAAGGAATTGGATATGTTGGATATTTATAGGTGCAAAATGTGAGTATTTTGCTTCGTGAAATTAGGAATTTTGCATGTGCAAAGTGAAAAGAAGTAGAGCATTTTAAAGCAACTTTTATACATCTCCCTTGTAAATGCATTAACCTTAAGATATTCGTATAGTACTGGTAGATATTTATTTTGTATAATTTACATAAATTTCATAGTGGTAAGAGCTTATTACATTATTTTTCTATCCTTTTTCAAATTACAAAAATTCCTTAAAATTTATGAATTTCGGATACATCACTCGATTTTGGGATACATTAGTAGACTTTCAGATGCATAGGCGAGGGATGTATCCGAGAGGGGAGAGATGTATCAGAGAGGGGATAGGACATCCGGATACATAGGGGAGGAATGTATCCTCTCCGGATACATATATAGGAGAGGGACATCTGAGAGGGGAGGAATGTATAGAGAGGGGAAGGATGTATCCGAGAGAGATAAGGATGTATTAGCGAGAGGAAATTAGTGATGTATCCGAGAGGGGATTTTTGAATTTTTTTAAATGGTAGAGAATTTTAGAGATTATGATAAAATAACATGTGTATTTGGATAATTTGTTCTTATTTAAATAAGGATTTAAATTATATGTACACACAAATGTAAAAGATTTAAATACTATTCGTATAATTTTACATGTTGTAATAGGTAATATACCATGTTTTGCAGGTTATCGATCAGCTTATACTTTATACTCACTATTAAAAAAATGCTTATTCACTACATCAAAAATGATCTTTAGAGACATTTAATTAGCGGTAATAGCTTAAATACGTACTGCTAAACATGTCACTACAAAAAAACCCCAAATTACCAACAAATTTTACTAACAACTTAAGTTGGTTAGTATTCTACTAACAAATTACCAACAGATTTCTAACTGAATTATATTTTAAAACTTAACAACGAAATTCTAACAGATTACCAACCAAAATCTTACTAACTAAGTATTTTAGTTGGTAAATAGTAAATACGGCGGGAAAAAATGGCGCCAAATTTTAGCAACATTCTATCAATGGATTACCAACTGAAATATTACTATCGCACACCTTTTTGTTGGTAATATTACCAACGAAGTATATATCGATTGGTAAATATGACAAAAAATTGTTTATATAATTTATTACCAATGAATTACTAACCAAATATTTACCAACGGCAAGATTGTGTTACTAAATTTACCACCCAAATATAAATGTGTTGGTAAATTAGTAACGAAATGTAATTTATTCAGTTGGAAGTTCCAATTTGGAATCAAAGTCTGGTTGTTATTCATGATCACCGTAAGGACGTTGACCGTTCCAATTACCTGGTGGATCATAATTGCAAGTTATAAAATACCACCCATTGTTGCATCTAACCCTAGCACAACCAAGACGTACTGAATTACGCCATACTACTTGAGTATAGTGTCCACATACTTTATCAGCTTGACAAGTATTTGAATTATAATGGTACCATTGCTTCTCATCGACCCACATCTTCACGGCACCACCCGCGTTGAGTGCGGGGAAAGCCGCGGCTAGGTTTTCGCCGTAGGGCCCACTTGAATGTTGCATCCTGCAGTCCCCCATTCTTTGATTAGCATAATTTTGGGCATAGGCAGCTAGCCTGTTGTCCCATGTCATAGGGCCGACACCAACTTGTCTACGAGCTGCATTATGAGCGTTAAGATAATCTTAGGGAGAATTTTCAGCTTCGGATATAGAGGGAAGTAGGTTTTTAGTAGCAATTAATATCTTTGTAAGTATTCCTAAAGCCTATAGCGACATTGGATCTAATGAGTAATGACAATTAACTAATTAATGCCGGTAAAAGTTTTAGCACTTTTTATTAATGTGTATATTTATTGCCGCTGAAAGTTGTTTTATTGTAGTGATCATTGACTAATTTCTAATAACTTGATCGTAATTATTAAGTTGTCATTAATGTATACTAGGAAGTTAAACTCATAAATAAATGGAATATAATGCAACTAGATAATTACTTGGGTTATATATATAACACCTTTACCAAAAGAAGCAATCACGTATTGCTTAAATTTAGACAAATGAATTTGAATTGGCGTTAATTACTCGATTAACTACAACGTTCGATGTATCATACATCTTGTCTGTTTTTATATATAGTTATACATACAACTGTGTTATATATTATCCACCACTAGCAAATTGATTAATAGTTTTATTTTGTTTCTTTTTTAATATTATCCCATTATATTTAAAATTTCAAAGATAATTTCAGACGTTAGTTACATTGACAATTTCAATAACTTTAGTACTCAAATTAAGAGGATATGTGGACCCTTTGCCATAAAATAATTTACTGCATTATATAAAACTTGCTGAATTCCCTTTATGAAAAACAAATTTTTTGGCAAACTCCCTTGTTAGAATAACGCTTATCGGGAGGTGTATCCAGAATTTCAGAAGGACGATGCATTATTACAAAAATATGTTTCTAAGATATAAATTTGATTGATTTGACCTTTACATTCTTAACATTGAACCGTTAAATTTTAAAATTTATAAATTCAACATAAATAATACTACTAGTTTTAAATTTTAATATACACATTTGATTTAATTATATAAAAATTTGACTGTGGTAATTTTTTTAGGAATTTTCAATGTTACACACTTGAAAATTTTGAAAGATTAAAGAAAACAAACAAAAGAAAAATTGATTGAAACGCCAAAAGTGTTACCGATAACCACTTGGAGGGGTGTTACTAACAAAAATAAGATAGAAATAAGATTTAAATTTCTATCTTTACTTAGAGAGGTGCACCCAATCATCATCGTATTATTATATGCTACTTTTAACGTGGGTTCACACCTTTATATTTAAATATTTTTTTAAAAATATAATACTACTATATATAATCTAGAGAGGAGAGAATGGATTCACGTGAACCCACGAAACCCCCTCTAGATACGCTTTTGTTATCAACTAGTCGAAATAACACTCTTCGAGGACGTTTGGTATGAATATGAGATAAACAAAATTATCACATGAATGAAAATACCCCATGGGAATAGTTATTCCATCATATTATATGAGATAACTTATTTTATCATTATATCATTACATTTTATTTTGTACTTATATCTTGCACACAAGTTAAGGTATGTAAACTTATCCACAAAGTTCAGCTTGTCAAGTTTTAGTTGTATGTTGTAACTTGCCTAAAATGCTAATTAATTTTATAAAATAAAGTAAAAAAATCAGTAAATAATTAAACTTGTGTAAGTATAGACTATAGTAGTAATTATCTTAATTAAGCAAAGTACAATATAACTCTTTGAGTCTAGAATTATAGTTACTCATCAACTTTACACATTTTATTCATTCAGTTAAACAGGTGCACACGGAACACCAAATTGTAAAACAAGAAGAAGAGTAAAAATAAACCAAGAAGCAATTATTTAAACGATCGATCCATATTTCCCATAAACTCCAGTTAATTAATTTATTCATGATCAGTTGGAAGTTCCAACTTGGAATCAAAGTCCGGTTGTTCTTCTAGATCACCGTAAGGACGTTGACCGTTCCAGTTACCTGGTGGATCATAATTGCAAGTTATAAAGTACCACCCGTTGTTGCACCTGACTCTAGCACAACCGAGACGTACTGAGTTACGCCACACTACCTGAGTATAGTGTCCACATACTTTACCAGCTTGACAAGTATTTGAATTATAATTGTACCATTGCTTCTCATCTACCCACATCTTCACAGCACCAGCCGCGTTGAGCTGGGGGAAACCGGCAGCTAGGTTTTCGCCGTAAGGGCCACCAGAGTGTTGCATCACTACAACAGTTTAGGCCTACGGCCACACTAAATCTGAACATTGCTTATAAAGTGTTGCCTAAAATATTTTTGGGGACGCTTTTAAAGCGTAGCCCAAGTTTTTAACTTTTGGCTTCAATAATATTGGCAACACTTGTAAAGTGTACTCTTTAATGGTATAAGCTACACTTTATAAACGTTGTTACAGTATGATATAATTGGCAACAACTATTTACATATATGGCTACACTTTTAAAGTGTTCTATTTCTCTAATTGTAAAAACAACACATTACAAATGTGGCCTTAAAATTTTCACCAAAATATTATATTCCTTCCAACATTTTTAACTCTCCCTCCAATTTTTATTGGGCAAAAAAATAAATTCATAACAAGTTTCCCTAACATTTTCCCTAAATCAATTTTGGCACTAGGTTGGAAAAACAAGTTTTTACATTACTTCTCCAACACTTCAGCGAGGCAGATTTTGACATCTTCTATGTCAACACTACATGAGGTTGGGTTTTGAAGCTGTTACGTTTCTGCTTCAATTTACTCTAGCCAAAATCATTTTCATCACCAACAACATTTCAGGTAGGGTTTTGACATCTTCTCACAAATCTTTAAAAAATTTGAGATTTCTTCTCGTTCTCACTCCACTCTATGGAACAATATGTGTGTGTGAGAGAGAGAGAGTGAGTAATTGTTCTATATACCTATTTTTTTGAAAAATTTGAATGTCGAGTTAAATTTCTTTCGAATTTTTGTATTAGGGAGCTGAAGTTCAATGGAGATCTTGTGGAAATCTTTAGAAAAAATTGAGAGTTGACAATGGAGAAAGCTTCTAGAATTAGGGTTAAAATTACGGCATAAATATAAATAATCGATAAATGGATTGAATAAAATTACTTCAATTTCAGTTCTTGGTATTAGTTCGTGTGTGTTTTAAAAAGTTGGATATTTTATTTAGTTGAAATCTGTAGTTTAGGTGCAAATCTGTTTCAACATCTTCTTTAGACTTTATAAGTTTTCATTAGATTTATAGCTTATGTTTGTTGCTTTAGCATTAACCAGTGACCATGTTACTCAATGGATAAAGTTGTAGCTTTAGCAATAAGAATTGATGTTGCTTAAAGGATTGTTTGTGAATGTGTTTTAATATGAATAATGGTCATGAAAAGTGATGATGCTTTAACAAATTTCATTTTATGTCAAGTGAATCAGACAACAAATTTGTTACTGCTACTCATTAGTTGCACTTTTTGATTCATTACTTATTTAAATTTGTAGTTTAACCTCTCCTTTATGTGAATCTAGAGCTTCATTTTTCGGGCTTTAGCCTTGCCAATCTTTTGGTTTATAAGAAATCTCATGTCATAACTGTATATGTACTTTGGGTGAAAGCTGAACATTACACACGTACAAGGGCAGATAAATCAAGAGTTTTATGTTTTTCTTTTTAGAAACAAGTTCAAGTAATAGTGCAAGTACAAGTAAACCAAACATTCATTTGCCCAAGTTTGTATCCACACATATTTGCCATGTTAATGCATGAGAAGACAAAACTTGTTTGGGATGCTCTTCATGCTAACTCCTCCATGTTTGGAATGCTCTTCATGCAAAAGAATTGTTGCATGACATGTTTAAAACCATAAGGTTCAGATGATATTTTGATGTATTGCATGAATATTTAGTTTAAGATAATAAAATTTGAAAGTCGTTCTTATTTCTTGAACTTTGTGTCCAAACAAACTATGACATGTAAAATGAAACAGAGGGAGTGATGATCTTTCCCCTGTTTCACATACAGAGTTTCTTTATGTTCTTACTGAATTTGCTTTGTTCCTGATTTTGTTTTGCTTCTTTATTTTTAAATTTGATCTTTGGATGGAAGTGATGGATCTGTGCCTTTTAATTTCACTTCAAATATTGGAAATTGGACTAAAGAGCAAGCCAACCCTAATTAATATTTTAAGGCTTGTCATTCATCAATGTTGTTAAGAGATTAGTTGAAGTTGAATGACCTGATATTATTTCTTGTGTTGATATCATCTCATTTGTTGTAATAGATTCAATTCTGGTTATAGTGAGTGAAAAACTCAACAAAATTACGAGCTTCTTGGATAATCATTATTAGAACTGAAAAAAGCATATTTGAATGAACAAATTGACATTTTTATTTTCTTCAGTTCCTGTCATTCTTATTTCTCTCTTTCTCTTCTCTTTCACAATTTCATTTTACCCTATTGTGAGTCTCAAATTTCATCAGCTTCTTCCTCTGTTAAACATTTTTGAACTTGCTTTATATTTCTATCTTGGTGTTTATTTTAGCTCTTTGTGTTGGTGAATTTTTACAGCACTTTATTTGTTTGTAACAATCAATTTTTTGGGTTGCTTCTTCTTTTACTCAAAGTTCGGCACACATATCAATTATTTTCTGATTTTTCTCAGAAAAAGCTGTATAAACTGAGTTAAACATGGCGAATTCTTAAGCAGGTCATACAATAAAGGTGATGTGTGCAGATTAAGAATATGATGCAAACAACATTAATAACAAGACGAGGCAAAGCTACAACAGATTAAAAAGATGAGGTAAAATCTTTTGTAACACAGTAAGATAGAGCTTTTCGAATTGAAGTTTCTTCCACCTCACTGTTTGTTGTATCTGGGAGCCTCTAGTATGTCTTATAACACATTTCATAGGAACTCTTACCACTGTTACTTGTCATTACTGCATATGAATATGTAGTTAACATCTTGATCAAGTTTTTAAGTTGAAGCTTAAGGTGATTACTTGATTTACCAAGCATTGTCTTTGAATGTTGATACAATAATTAATAGGATCAAATTTAATTTCATATGCATCATTACATGGTTTTAAATAATCTATGCTCTGTTTATCTCTTTCATTGTGCGAGACATTAGATATTGTGCCTTAGGAATATGATGATAGAAATTAATAAAGAATGTGAATTGATCATCTGAAATCTTTATAGGTTTCACATTGACAGTGAACTGGCCCTAGCTTACTGTCACAGAACAATACTTATTGAATTATTTTTAACTTTAAAAGGGTATAAATATAGCACCAGACAGCATAATATTCTATTCCTGCACAAACTATGTTATATCTATCTGCATATCCAAATTCCTAATAACTAGCCATTTAATGAACCAACTCGACCAAGACTAGAAACGAAAGAGACGAGTTTAACTAAAATCTATATGCTTCAACTGTGGTGATACTTGCGACCTTAACTAAAATGACATTGTTAGTAGCAACAATACCTATGCTGGTTCTTTGAATGTTCAAGGATCTGTTAATGATGAAAATGCCCTAGCTTCCGTAAGAGTCAATCAACCTGATTCTGTTTCTAAGATTCTCAGAGAAGTTCCTGGAAATGACAAGTGCTATACTTGTGGTGCTTCAGAACCTGATTGGGCTTCTCTAAATCTTGGCATCCTAATTTGTATAGAATGCTCGGGCATTCATTGGAACCTTGGTGTTCATATCTCAAAGGTATATCTTTATCCATGTTGAAATTTCTTTGTTCCACTTGTCTACAAACATCTGCCTTGTTCTTAAAAAAAAGATTAATTCCATTTAGTTCACGGTGTTTATTCAATTTTGTACTGGTCCACATGCATTTATATTTGAGACTATGAGTATTTTCATTACTTTCATGACAATGCACTATTCATTATGGAAGGTTAGTAGCTATTGGATCTTTTTTGGAAATGTATTTTGAAGTATAACTTATTTTCAGTTGATGCCCCTAGAAAGTAACAAAATGAAAGATCTATGGGCCTGTTGAGTTGATTGATATTTGAGATACTTATCACTTGTAGGTAAGGTCCATATTATTAGATGTCAGGGTTTGGGAGCCTACCATCTTGGATCTATTCCGCACATTGGGTAATTCTTATTGTAACTCGGTGTGGGAGGAGCTGCTTCAACTTCCAAGTGACGGGTATGTACCCTTAGTTGATAATATATACAAGAAAGTCATTGTTGCATGGGTATAAATTTCTATAGATCTTGTGTGTTTATTGATATTTGGGCTCAGATTTAATGTGAAAAGTCCTCTCCCAGCCAAGAAAAGATGAACTGTTGAGAGATATCAAAGAACACAAAATTCCAACTTAACAGTTCCCAGGATTATTTCCACGCTTCTATTTATTCTTCAATTGAACTAGTCAATATACAATCTATTTTTCCATTACAATTTGACATTCTACCTGGGTCAGCCTATCTATTTAGTACACATTATCGGATAGAAAATGTTCCCATGTGCCATGATGATATAATATGCATTTAGCTCAAATATTTTTAGAAACTATGTTCTGTTTGTGTTAGCTCATGCATGTTCTGTTGGTGTTAACTCATGTAAAATGATTAATTCATTCAGATTAACAAATGTTGATGCCATTCAATCTGCTTCCAAGCCAAGCCCCAAAGATGCCTTTCATGAAAAGGAGAAGTATATTTTGGCAAAGGTATACTTTTTGCATGTTTTAAGGGCTTTCCTTCTCCATGTTATACATTTTATCCTTTGGGCTAAGCTTGATCATCCATCAACTCGGTCTTCTTGTTTTTCCATGGAATTCTATAAAGAGAATCTCATGATCATTTGTCTGTTGTTTCATGAGTAGTGGAGGTCCAATCGAGAAAAAGTGTGTCTTCCCACTTACTGTGAAAGAACTATTTAAACAATGTGTCTTTCCTTGTTTATAGCAGCATAAATAGTTGACAGGTTGTGACAGTAGAAACTTTGGTTTCTTTTCTCTCTAATTTGATCCCAGGTTGACGAGCAAGTGAATTCTCCATTTGCATTGGGCTTCCATATTGGTTGATCAAAAACCATGGGCTGGTAGTGAATTTGAGTCGCAAGAATGGTCGCGACAAGATCCGAAGGTGCAGTTTTAATGATCTTTTCGATATCCCAGGTTCCATTGATCAAAAAAGCGTACACTTTGATGTTGTTTGGTGTTGAATTTCCTCTTTTTCCATGCTTTGTTTTGTGCGACTGCTATCCTGATTTACCTGTCTGCATTAAACTATCTTGGGATTTTTCTCCTGCTGCCCCTGTTCTTTGGCCTGAAGTGGACTACGAAATTCTAAAAGTTTTTTGGCCGTTAAATTTTGATTTGTAAACTGTAATCTGAAACCAATAATCTGGAACTGTAATATGCAATATGCAATCTGGAATCTGGAACCTGGAACTGTAATCTGCAACAATCTGCAATCTGGAATTCAAAAAATCTGCAGTCTGCAATCTGCAATCTGGAACTTCTTGACTCTTCTATAACTGCTGCAATCTGATTTGTTGTACATTTTAAATGTGTAGGGAAATGGAGGTGATCAAATTTGAAGGGTCGCCACAAGTCAATTTGATCTCATTGAAGTGGATGATGAAGAGTTTTTGAACTATTGTAAAACTTTGAATACACTATGTTTGATTTTGTGAAATATATTCATTGCTAGAATATATTGAACTATTGTAAGACTACTTTTTAAACTATTGTTTACACATATTTAGAATATTGCTTTATAAGTATGTGTATATATGTACAACACAAGACATACTATCTTTTGAAATTTATTGCAAATCTATATATTTTAATTACTTATTAGGTAATTTGATGCTTGAGATTATTTATTGCAAAACAATATTGGTGTTTTTTAATTAGAAATTGTGGCATATAAATATTTTATAGCCAAAATGATATAACCACACTTAAAAGTGTAGCCATAGAACTGTAAATTGTGGTATGCACATGGGCAAGGACTACACTTCAAAGTGTTGTCATGCATTAGATAGAAAAGGCAACACTTTAAAATCGTGGGTAATGAGGAAGAAAGGCCACGTTTGAAAGTGTAGTTGTATGAGATAGAAATGTTGCTATTGGAGGTACTGGAAAGCGTTGCCTTTCTGCCTTTTAGGCTACGCTTTTAAGCGTAGCTGATAAGGCAACACTTGAAAAGTGTTACCTAAACTCTAAGGTTACGGCTCTTTCGGCCACCCTTGGAAAAGTGTGGCTTAAAGTCAAAAAGTGTGGCCTTTTATCAAAGGCCACACTTTTTCATAGTTTAGGCCACACTTTTCTAGGGTGATTGTAGACATAAAATGTTGTAGTGCATCCTACAGTCCCCAGCTCTTTGATTGGCATAATTTTGGGCAAAGGCTGCTAGCCTATTGTCCCATGTCATAGGACTGACACCAACTTGTCTACGAGCTTCATTGTGAGGGTTAAGATAATCTTGGGGAGAGTTTTGAGCTTGTGATGAGTGAAATATTATAGCAAAGCTAAGGAAACAAATGATTAAGGCAATATTGGAGTATCCCATTTTGTGTTTTGGTGAGAATCAAAGAATAGTTTGATGGGTTAATTAAATAGCTAGTCTGAAAATAAAGAATTGAAAGGTTATAGCTTGTTAGCATGCAGACTCTATCGGATTATTTGAAAAACAAATGAAATTAATTAGAGGTTTTGAAAGTCTAAGAATAACATGTCACATCATGCAACTGTATATCATTTAAAAAATGATAAGAGCCGCCTCGAGTCATTACCATAAATTTAACAAAAACAAAAAACTCTATTTGGCCATTTAAATTCTTTTATCATGGATAAAAGAAACTTTTTAAAGATAAGTTATTTCTTTGTTATTCTTTTTAGAATGGTCTAAAAGGTAAAAAGTGTAACTTATTTGATTTAAATTGAATTTATATAAAATAAAATAAAATGATCCCTTATTTCATATGATTAAAGTACAAATTGTAAAGATGAAGGGTAAAGTTGTCGGGCTAGCCCAACCCTATTCAGCCCAGATCTTGTGGGTCAAAAAATTTAATGGGCTGGCCCTTTATTTGAGATGGCCAACCCCACCTAATCCAAGAATTAGGCCGCAGGTGTATGTTCAAATATCAATAAAATCATATAAGACAAGTGATACATATCGTACAAATTATATAAATTTGAAGATATATCAAGCAAGTGATTATTGCTCAAATATCAATAAAATTACCTTCGTCTTATTCCTAAATTGGACGTATGCTCATTGAACAGATATACAATTAAATGAGAAAAAAAAATACTTTTTATTCATTGATTCTTAACAGCTAATTATATGAGATGGGAGGATAAATTATTTGAATTTGGATCCGGCTCTTCTCTATTTTCTCTAAGTTATTGGTTAGATTAATGGGAGCATAAGTTAAAATTAATGGATATTACTTAATTCACTAAACAAAAGACATCAACTTTACATGTTTTATTTATTCAATCAAACATGTGCCTCTGCACCCCCATAAACAAGAATAACAAAAAATATTAATTAGTCCATGCATATAAACTCCAGTTACTTGACTGGAATTATTTTCCTTAATTAATATATGAAAAGCTTAATTTAATTTATTCATGATCAGTTTGAAGTTCCAATATGGAATCAAAGTCTGGTTGCTCGTCTAGATCATGGTATGGTATGGACGTTGATCTTTCAAATTACCTGATGGATTATAAAAGCAAGCTATAAATTAAAATACCAGACCCGGCTCCTCTCCAGTGGTTGATCTCTCCCGTTCCCGCAGTGGGGCCTTAAATTATTTACACGTGTCTCTTGTATAATCTGATGGACAAGATTTATTTTGTTATAAATTTGAAGATATATCAAACACGTGATTATTGTTCAAATATCAATAAAATTAACTCATTCTTATTTAAAAATAAAATAAAATTAAGGGTGTATATTCACTGAAGAGAGATAAAGGTAATTAATTAGTTAAAAAAAAGATTAAAGAAAACTTGATTTTCTTGTGAAACGTTCAAAAGGGAATTATGTGGCAATTAATTATGTCAGTATATAACTATAGTTTATAACACAGTTTACTCATCAACTATACACATTTTATTTATTCAATACACGTACACTTACGGTACACTCAATATAACAACATTCTGTAAAAAAGATTAACAATAAAATTAATTAAAGTAAGAAGCAAATATTTAAACGATCCATATGGATATCAATTTAGATCCATATTTTCATTTAAATTCCAGTTACTGCATGCATAGCATAGTACTACTGGATTTATTTTCCTTAATTAATACATGAAGCTTAATTTATTCAGTTGGAAGTTCCAATTTGGAATCAAAGTCTGGTTGTTATTCATGATCACCGTAAGGACGTTGACCCTTCCAATTACCTGGTGGATCATAATTGCAAGTTATAAAATACCACCCATTGTTGCATCTAACCCTAGCACAACCAAGATGTATCGAGTTACGCCAGACCACTTGAGTATAGTGTCCACATACTTTACCAGCTTGACAAGTATTTGAATTATAATGGTACCATTGCTTCTCATCGACCCACATCTTCACGGCACCACCCACGTTGAGCGCGGGAAAGCCGCAGCTAGGTTTTCGCCGTAGGGCCCACTTGAATGTTGCATCCTGCAGTCCCCCATTCTTGATTAGCATAATTTGGCATAGGCAGCTAGCCTGTTGTCCCATGTCATAGGGCCGACACCAACTTGTCTACGAGCTGCATTATGAGCGTTAAGATAATCTTGGGGAGAATTTTGAACTTGGGATATAAAGGGAAATATAGCAAAGGTAATGAAACAAACAATTAATAAGGTAATATTGGAGTATCCCATTTTTGTGTTTTGGTGAGAATTAAGGAATAGTTTGGGTTGGTTTAAATAGGGAACAAGAGTTGAATAGTTTGCAATTTATGGTAGAAAATTTAATTAAAGAATTGAAAAGTTACTTGTTAGTAGACTCTATTGGGTTATTTGAAAAGCATATGAGATTAATTATTCGGTGAAGCAATAAGAGTCGTTAAGTAATTCTTCATCTTCAACTAGAGTCTTGAGTTAGAATTTTATTGGGTCCTAAGTCAAAATTTACTAGGAAGCTAGTACTATAAATCCTTAAATAAAACTTTTAATTCGTATTTAATCAACTATCAATATAAATATCAAAAACTAAAATATGGGGAAATATAAGATTTAGGTTGTGAAAGTAAAAGAATGACATGCCACATCATGCAACTATTTGTTTTTAAGTGATAACAGGTACCACTAGTCATTTGGTTAATTGTTTCAACAACAGTATTAAATTAGTACACTTTTCTGTTTTATTAGTAAAAAAATAATTTTCACAAAAAGTCATACACGTTAGCTATTTTTTCATTTTAATTTATTTGTCTGATTTTAATTTGATGCAATGTTTAAAAAGTAAAAAAGACTAATTACTGAATTTTGTAGTCCTATTAAAGATACATAAAATGTATCAAAATGTCATTTGATCTTTGGTCTCAAAGCCTATTTGACATAGTGCTAAAAACGGCTTATTTTTAGAAACACTTTTTTTTAAAAAAAAAAAAACATTTCAGAACAATAGTTTTTGAAAAAAAAAACAATTTATGTTTGGCTAATTCATTTGAAAAAATATTTTTTAATAAATAAATTGTGTCTGAATAGTCTTTTTTAGAAAGTACTTTTGAGAGTGAAATTATGAAAAAGGGATAAATATAATACTACATTTTAAAACAAATTAAAAAGAAAAGTTAAACAAACAAATTGAAAGAGAGAGGGAGAAGATGTATGTTATAGTTGAAACATGGAAACAGAAACAAGACAGCGAACCAACAAGGAGTTATTTTAATTTCTATATATGAACTTGACTTTAATTTTGTGGCCCTTTCTCTGGATTATGCTAACATGAGATGCTAATTGACCTGCCTTTTAAATTAAGGATTAAAATTTTTTTTAGAAATAACTGTTTGATCTTTTAAATTAAATATATTATGAATATGATATTACTTTTCACCATGAATAATACCACTATTTTTTACCATGAATACTACCACTAGCCATTTTGTTTAAACACTAATCTAAAGTTAAGCCTCATAAAGTGATGTTGCAACTACTTTTTTTTTCTCTTCAGAAATGTAAAAGCCGCCTTTAAGTTATGGGAAACTTATGCAGATGTATTATACTCCAACTAAACAGCTTAATCCTTTTTTTATTTTTATTTTGTACAATAAACACATGGTCAGAAGCACGATAATATAAATACCTAAATTAAGAACATAAATATTATATATAATATAAAAAGATACTAGATTAATTGTTGAAAGTGGCAAGTGTAAAATAGATATTGCATAGGATAAAGGTTTTTTTTTGGGATGGGGGGGGATTGATTTTTAAAACAAAATTGGAGTGTGAAAATGATTTTCCATTTTTTTAAAATCTGCTTTACGTCATACATTAAAGGGGTATAAAGTTATTGTTTAGGCTATCATATCTGTCAAAAAAAATATTCACATAGTTCTTTTTTAAAATATGAGATTTATAATCGCACAAAATGACGTGTCGACTAATATAACTCCCCAAATCTAACTGGCTTTGACGATATTAGTCTACACGTCATTTTGTGCAGATTTTGTATTAACCATTTTAAAAAATTGGCTATTTTAATTGCATATATAGCAAAAGTTTATCTAGAGAAAACTATAGACCAATAAAAAATGAGAAACATGGGTTTTAGATGCTTGATACAATTATGATAATTAAAAGAAAGAGCTTTTATTAGTTTTATTTGGTATTCAAGAACAATAAATAAAATAGATGACCGCCTTTTGTTTATTGAAATTGCCTTATGGCCTACTTGATTTTAAAAAATAAAATAAAAATAAAAGCCTAGCCAATTCACAAAACCAAAAAAAAAAAAAAATTAGAAAAAGGTTGCAAAGCGCAGATTTCATGCGCCTTACATGGCGGCTGAGCCTTACAAGGCTAAAAGTTGTTTGCGCCTTACAAGTCGCATGGGTATCCGCACCTTGCGAAGAAAATCCTGATTTAGACGGTGTTTAAATTTGTTGTCCTTTTGATTTGATAAATAATTTTGTTGCTCTTTTAGAATTTTCAAAAAAAATTGTTGCCCTTTTGGCTCCGGACTCTTGTACAGAGGCGGACCCACCCCTCTAGGTAGGGGTGCACGTGCACCAGTTAACTTTGGAAAAAAATCATATATATATGTATATCTATCTTGAGAAACTAACAGAAATTAGAATATAATTAACAGTGAACCCATGAAAAGCATAGAAGAGTCATTGTGCTACTGGTACAAGCTAGAAGATCCACCTGCGAGACCTGGGTTTGACTCCAACCAGAATGTTTATTTCACTGTTTTTATTGTAAGTTTCTCTTATAACTCATATTTGAGCTAAGGTAATATTGGTGCATCCAAAGTCTTGAAATATTAGATTCGCCTCTGAGTATAGTGGTGAGTATATCACTATATCCACCCGTTACGCATGCAGTCAACCCATTTTTCTTTCCTTAGTAGTTACTAGAACAAATGTA